CACAATCTGTGATCTCCTGTAGCATGTATTAGTTCGTGTGCTGACACACCTCCATGCCATGCAACAAGACTGTCAAGAATCTTCTCTCGTTGTCTTCCTCTATCCCTCCTTCCAAATATCTTTCCAGTGGTCACCATACGTTCCATTTCCCTCATCTTATAACATGGCCGAAAAATGATGACTGTCTCCTTCTGATGTCTGTGAGTAGTTGTCTTCGGGCTCCCACCTTTATCAAAACCTCTTGGTTGCTTTTTTTTTTTTTGGCTGCCCGATGTATTTTAAGCATTGTTCTGTAAAACCACATCTCTGAGGCCTCAGGAAATTGTTTGGTCTGCCTACCGATTGTCCAGGACTTACAGCCATATGTTAAAACCGGGTGTATGTAGCAAGAAAAAATTCTTTTTTTAACCTTCAATGACAAAGATATATTGCATAAGATGTTCTTTATTTTATAAAATGCAGTTTTTGCATGTCCTATTCTGTTTCTTTTTTCAGTAATGCATCTTCCATCTGATGTTATCCATGTGCCCAGATACTTAAATTTCTGTACTTGTCCTAAAATAAAACCATTGAATTTTATTACACGTTTAGGATTAATTATTTTCTTTGATACCACCATTACTTCTGTCTTCCCACTATTCAAACTGATGCAAATTCTTCCACTTTCTTGTATAAAATAGATCTTAACAAAAAAAAAAAAAAAAAAAAAAAAAAAAAAAAAAAAAAAAAAAAAAAACATCCATAATGTCAAATGTACGCTGAAATTTTACTTCACAAAATGTAGTACAGAACAGTAAACATTTAAAAACATTTCATGTTTTGTATCCTTCAGTCAGTCAGTCTATGGTAATTAATACCTAGGAATGAAACTATTCTCCGTTTTATAACAAGTAACTAAACTTGTAAATTGTCACTGACAGCTTAGTTAATCCATGAAAGCGGCATTAGCTTTCCACACCAAAAAAAAAAAAAAATCGTTCCATGTTGTCAGCATGAGGGCAGCTTCTCGTCTCACTGAAGGTATTTCCAGCTGTACTAAACAGGCGTTCACTTGGTACGCTCGCAGGTGGTGCACAAACATAACGCTTGACAGTATGAACCAAGGAGAGAAATCTTGATATGTTTATTTTCCACCAGTCCAGAAACGGGTGTAAGGTAACGACTATTCGTATTCGGCCCGACCGCAACTATTCGGCCGAATACCGAATAGTTATTAGGTCCACTATTCGGCCCCGAAGCGAATATTCGGTAGAGCCCTAATAGCAATACAAAGATTGAACAGCTTTAAAAGTCTATGGTTAAGCACCAGCAAGGAGATCAAAATTAGAATTTTGAGAGCATGCATCTTCCCCGTGGCTACATGCGGATGTAAGTTGTGGATTATCTCTCAGTCCTTAAGAAAGAGAATAGAGGCTTTTGAGCTGAAATGCTATAGAAAGATTCTCAGAATATCTTAGACAAAGAAGAGGAGAAATACTGACGTCTTGAAAGATCTGAACATCAAGGAAGATTGGATGTGGTCGAAAAGCGACCACAATGCCACCCTCAGAAAGCGAGGCAGGTAACCTAACCACCCTGCCATAAAGATCAAGTGTGTGTATTTCCCCGGGAAAATTACAGACTATGTCGCCCACTGGAAATGTTGGAGCCACTCCAGAAACAGAACATTTGCATCAGCAAAACATAGCCGGACACATGTCACTCTTCTTCGTTAGGGGTCAGCCGGCTGTAGGTTGTTTTGGCCGAAAGTTCAAACAGAAGCGATTATTTCTTCTCAGATACTAGCAGTAACATTCTCAGTGTAGTCCCTGCTATTACTAGCCACCTTGCTCTAAACGTCATCTACTTGAACTTCAATAAAAGGTATCATAGACTTGTCACAGCGGGTTGTCGCAGTAAGTCGTCGATTGTCACAGTAAGTTGTCGTTTGTCAAAGTAAATAAAGACACCTTACAATAAATTTCCAGCATAAGTCCAACGACTTAAAATAAGTTGCAACCATTCGCAGTAAATCGTTACTTCACAGTACATCACAACTTCGCAAAGTAAGTCGCAACTTCACACAGTAAATTGTATATTCTAACTGCACAGTGTACAACAGATTAAAGAAATAATAAATACCCAATGTATTTACCACGGTCTGCTTGTCACAAGCATGGCGAGATCTGAGTAGTCGACCGTGCACACAGAAGGAATTACACATAAACAGTCACAGTCACCGTAGTCGCTGGGATGACCGGGTGTTAGTGACCACGGCAAAACGGCAAGATCTGACCTATTACTCTGATGTGGGCAGATATCATTCATGAATTAATAAATATCATTAAAGAACGAGGGATATAGCCGGCTTTGATGGACGGCATACTTCCAGCTGTAGAACTATCCAGGATTATCCCTTGATGAACTCAGACGTCGGGACATTTCATAATGTAAAAATCTGTCCTCGTGAACTTTAGCAAAATGTTTCATGCATTCCAACAAAATATTGTTTTATGGATTCCAACAAAATGTTGTTTGATGGACTCCAATAAAATGTTGTTCAAGAGATTCCAACAAAATGTTGTTTGATGGACTCCAATAAAATGTTGTTCAAGAGATTACAACAAAATATTATTTTATGGACTACCAAAAAAAAAAAAAAAATGTTCCACCAGGGACTACAACTTCTAAGCGTTTATCGGCTAAAAACTCAAGTGGGACGTCTTGGTTGTGGGTTCACCTCTGGGCTGAAGTCTTGGTTGTGGGTTCACCTCTGGGCTGAAGTCTTGGTTGTGGGTTCACTTCTGGGCTGAAGTCTTGGTTGTGGGTTCACCTCTGGGCTGAAGTCTTGGTTGTGGGTTCACTTCTGGGCTGAAGTCTTGGTTGTGGGTTCACCTCTGGGCTGAAGTCTTAGTTGTGGGTTCACCTCTGGGCTGAAGTCTTGGTTGTGGGTTCACCTCTGGGCTTAAGTCTTCTTCCAGGAAATGAATTTTGCCTGCACATTTGTTCCACGGACCTGGCTTATTTGTGTACAAACTGTGGTTTCCTGCCTCTCTGACAAATACCCCCGACACCGAAGGCCTTAGGGCGGGCACCTGTTTCTGGGATGACGGCTGGTCAGGCCTTGGGGCGGGCACCTGTTTCTGGGATGACGGCTGGCCAGGCCTTGGGGCGGGCACCTGTTTCTGGGATGACGGCTGGCCAGGCCTTGGGGCGGGCACCTGTTTCTGGGATGACGGCTGGTCAGGCCTTGGGGCGGGCACCTGTTTCTGGGATGACGGCTGGCCAGGCCTTGGGGCGGGCACCTGTTTCTGGGATGACGGCTGGCCAGGCCTTGGAGCGGGCACCTGTTTCTGGGATGACGGCTGGCCAGGCCTTGGGGCGGGCACCTGTTTCTGGGATGACGGCTGGCCAGGCCTTGAGGCGGGCACCTGTTTCTGGGATGACAGCAGAGAAATGTAGATAGGTCTTGTCCAGTATCAGCTCTAAAATATGTCCACTTGGTCTATTTTAGTTTGTTTCCACTTGGTCCAGTTTGGTCTATTTCCACTTGGTCCAGTTTGGTTTGTTTCATCTTGGTCTAGTTTGGTTTGTTTCCACTTTGTCCAGTTTGATCTATTTCTACTTGGTCCAGTTTGGTTTGTTTCCACTTGGTCCAGTTTGGTTTGTTTCCACTTGGTCCAGTTTAGTTTATTTCCACTTGGTCCAGTTTGGTTTGTTTCATCTTGGTCTAGTTTAGTTTGTTTCCATTTGGCCCTATTTGATTTGTTTCATCTTGGTCCAGGCTGCTTTGTTTCCATGTGGTTCAGTTTGTTTCAATGTGATCCAGTTTGGATTGTTTTAACTTGGTCTAGTCTGGTTTGTTTCCATATGCTCGAGTTTGATTTTTTTCAGCTTGGTCCAGTTTGGTTTTTTTCCATGTGGTCCTTGTTTGTTTCTATATAGTCCAGTTTGGTTTGTTTCAACTTAGTCTAGTTTGGTTTATTTCCACTTGGCACAGTTTGTTCGTTTTCACTTGGTCTAGTTTGTTCGTTTCCACTTGGTCCATTTTGGTTTGTTTAGATGTGGTCAAGTTTGTTTGTGTCTGATAGATGTTGTACTGAGTCTGTTGCAGGACAAGTCCTGATTACAGATAGATGTTGTACTGAGTCTGTGCAGGAAAAGTTCTGATTACTGATAGATGTTGTACTGAGTCTGTTGCAGGAAAAGTTTTGACCACTGATAGATGTTGTACTGAGTCTGTTGCAGGAAAAGTTCTGACCACTGATAGATGTTGTACTGAGTCTGTTGCAGGAACAGTTCTGACTACTGATAAATGTTGTATTGAGTCTGTTGCAGGAAAAGTTCTGATTACTGATAGATGTTGTACTGAGTCTGTTGCAGGAAAAGTTCTGACCACTGATAGATGTTGTACTGAGTCTGTTGCAGGAAAAGTTCTGACCACTGATAGATGTTGTACTGAGTGTGTTGCAGGAAAAGTTCTGACCACTGATAGATGTTGTACTGAGTCTGTTGCAGGAACAGTTCTGACCACTGATAGATGTTGTACTGAGTCTGTTGCAGGAACAGTTCTGACCACTGATAGATGTTGTACTAAGTGTGATGCAGGAAAAGTTCTGACCACTGATAGATGTTGTACTGAGTCTGTTGCAGGAACAGTTCTGACCACTGATAGATGTTGTACTGAGTGTGTTGCAGGAACAGTTCTGACCACTGATAGATGTTGTACTGAGTGTGTTGCAGGAACAGTTCTGACCACAGATAGATGTTGTACTGAGTCTGTTGCAGGAACAGTTCTGACCACTGATAGATGTTGTACTGAGTCTGTTGCAGGAACAGTTCTGACCACTGATAGATGTTGTACTGAGTCTGTTGCAGGAACAGTTCTGACCACTGATAGATGTTGTACTGAGTGCGTTGCAGGAACAGTTCTGACCACTGATAGATGTTGTACTGAGTCTGTTGCAGGAACAGTTCTGTAAATACTAGACAATCTAACAATGAAACCGTTTTTGTTTCAGAGGCACGGTAACGTCAATAGAATGGTTTCAGTCTCCCACTTCTTGCTGCTGGCCTTCACCCTGGCAGTGACCTTCACCTTGATGGCATCGCATGAGTTGGACTACCTGGAGGACGCCGACTTGGACTCGGAAGAGGACGACTTCCTGGGAAAGCGGGGATTTGCGGATAAACGAGGTTTCGCGGACAAACGAGGGTTCGCGGACAAACGAGGGTTCGCTGACAAACGAGGGTTCGCTGACAAGCGAGGGTTCGCAGATAAAAGAGGTTTCGCCGACAAAAGAGAGAAAATCAGTCCCTTGGTGTTGAGGATGCTCCAGCGCAGCTACCAGAATCAGGCTCTGCCACTGACGGGCCACAACTCCTTTAATCGTCTGCTGGCTCGGGAGGGATTCTTGGAGTGATCAGGAGATTGTTTCGGTCGGTCCAAATGCAACAGTTTCACAGTATAGTTTATGTTAATTGTTTCGGTCTGCCCAAATGCAACAGTTTCACAGTACAGTTTATGTTCATTGTTTCGGTCGGTCCAAATGCAGCAGTTTCACAGTATAGTTTATGTTCATTGTTTCGGTCGGCCCAAATGCAACAGTTTCACAGAACAGTTTATGTTCATTGTTTCGGTCGGTCCAGATGCAGCAGTTTCACAGTACAGTTTATGTTCGGTTACACTAAAGAAGTAGTCAACTAAAAGCGTCGTTGTCACCTGATTGGTTTGTTTACAATGATGGCTTAAACAACTCCCGCCAGCAGGCTCCAAGATCCGGGAATCTCTCTGTACTCTCTCGGGAGCAACAGATCTGTCTGACCTTGCAGGCAGTAGACGGGAGCAACAGATCTGTCTGACCATGCAGGCAGTAGACGGGAGCAACAGATCTGTCTGACCATGCAGGCAGTAGAAGTGCGTCTCCGCAAATGAGGCTAGGCCAAAGATTTTACATAGGAATTCCTGACATCTCTTGCTGAGGTTCACAAATAAATGGTTCTATTTATGTTGGTGGTGTTGTTGTTGGTCAGTTAGGCTTTCGTGATTGTGTTGTGATTGTATTGTAATGCTGGCTAAACGTGTATTGTGTTAAATCATCATCAGTTAGGTGCCGTCTTCACAGTAAAGGATGGCTTCAATGGATCTCCAACACGCGCTCTCTCTTGTCCTGGTTGTACACACTCTCTGACTGCTTCCCGTCCACCTCTTGATGTTGTTCTCCAACTTGTATCGTTGCCTACCTCATGCTCTCTTGTCTTCGATCTTTCCCTCCAGTATGGTTATCAAAAGTGTGTTTTTTCTTTTAAAGTGGCCAAAGCATTTCAATTGTCTCTGTTTTATTTATTTCTGTAATTCTCGTTTTATTTGCAGTCTTCCCTGAACCTCTGTATTGGACAGTTTTTGCTTGCATGAAACACGACCTATTCTTCTGAATACACACATCTCCAGAGACTCATTCGATTTTCTAGTTACTTCTAGTCCAGAGTTTCTGCACTATAGAGCAGGACTTGGACTGTGTTAAAGCTGCGCTCTAATTATAAAAGAATAGAGGGTCTCACTGCAATTTAATTGATGTGGGTGACATCTTTAAGGTTTGGGTTTACAAAAAAAATCAGGTAGATAGTGAAGAGGGGAAACTGGCGGTGGCAGAGGGTGCCAGCGATCAAGGCAAATACAAACGAATTGGAGGGAAGGGTGGAAGGGGGGGGGGGGAGATAAAATAATAATTGATAGCATATATGTATCAATGGGCGTAAATTTAAAAAAAAATTATAATATTAAACAACAGAGCACAGTACACAGAAGAATGAGAGGTTCAAACAGATAGTAGCAGTTCTAGGAGGGCCGAACAGATGAAATATGTGAATCTTTTGACAGGGCCCTAAATATGGCCTTATGGTTTAACGGGGTTTCCGGGTCTAATCCACGGGTGAGCCTCATTTGCGTGGTGGCACTTTGTGTCGCCGGCTGTTTATCGCTTGTGTAATGTCCTAATGGGGTACAACTTACCTACCGACCTTGTGTGATGTCCTGGTGGGGTACAACTTACCTACCTACCTTGTGTGATGTCCTGGTGGGGTACAACTTACCTACCTACCTTGTGTGATGTCCTAGTGGTGAACAACTTACCTACCGACCTTGTGTGATGTCCTGGTGGGGTACAACTTACCTACCTACCTTGTGTGATGTCCTAGTGGTGAACAACTTACCTACCGACCTTGTGTGATGTCCTAGTGGTGAACAACTTACCTACCTACCTTGTGTGATGTCCTGGTGGGGTACAACTTACCTACCTACCTTGTGTGATGTCCTAATGGGGTACAACTTACCTACCTACCTTGTGTGATGTCCTAATGGGGCACAACTTACCTACCTACCTTGTGTGATGTCCTGGTGGGGTACAACTTACCTACCTACCTTGTGTGATGTCCTAGTGGTGAACAACTTACCTACCTACCTTGTGTGATGTCCCGGTGGGGTACAACTTACCTACCTACCTTGTGTGATGTCCTGGTGGGGTACAACTTACCTACCTACCTTGTGTGATGTCCTGGTGGGGTACAACTTACCTATCTACCTTGTGTGATGTCCTGGTGGGGTACAACTTACCTACCTACCTTGTGTGATGTCCTAATGGGGTACAACTTACCTACCTACCTTGTGTAATGTCCTAATGGGGCACAACTTACCTACCTACCTTGTGTGATGTCCTGGTGGGGTACAACTTACCTACCTACCTTGTGTGATGTCCTGGTGGGGTACAACTTACCTACCTACAGTAAGAACAGGTTCTTGCAGACGTTTCTATTGAGCAGGCAGTGTTTTCATCACCATCGATTGTACCTTGGAGACGTCGCTGCCTGACAGGGGACTGAACTGCAGCTGGGATAATCTTGCGTACAGGCGGCTGGTGACATTTGTTTCCACACACACACAATGATAACGTCAAACACTGTTGGCAATCAACAAAATAAATTGGAGATAAAGTGGGAATAACGAGCACTTGTCGGGAAATAAAAGTGAGCAAATGAAGGAATTAACCATTTATCAGGTTGTATACCCAGCAGCGGCACCACTCCATCCCCCCTCCCCCATTTGTTTTCTTTCAAAGTGTCAATATCTCAGCGCTACTAAAATAGAGATGTAGCAGCGGCACCACTCCACCCCCTCCCCCATTTGTTTTCTTTCAAAGTGTCAATATCTCAGCGCTACTAAAATAGAGATGTAGCAGCGGCACCACTCCACCCCCCTCCCCCATTTGTTTTCTTTCAAAGTGTCAATATCTCAGCGCTACTAAAATAGAGATGCAGCAGCCGTGGTGTCGAGGCTAGATGCTCGCCTGTGGATCGAAAGATCGTGGTTTCAGGTCATGACAGTGTCGGATTTATTCTTCACAAATTGACTTTGCCTTCCGGGTCGACCCAACCCTAAATGGGTACCAGGTACAGTCCATGGGAAGTAAAGTCGGCCGGCATGATGCTGACTACATCACCCACCGAGTGGGTCTATAAAATATAGGTCTAGCCTTATATGCCTAAGACGTCTGAAGGTGTGGGAAAGGTTCCCTGACTTGACTATAACAGACACTTTGCTGTGTGTACCCAAACTCTGAAGGTGTGGGAAAGGTTCCCTGACTTGACTATAACAGACACTTTGCTGTGTGTACCCAAACTCTGAAGGTGTGGGAAAGGTTCCCTGACTTGACTATAACAGACACTTTGCTGTGTGTACTCAAACTTTCTTTATAATGACCCTGTACTGAGTATGGTACTTAATTTTTCTACAAGAAAAAAATTGGTATAAAACATTATGTAATCCAGCGACAATAGGCAGTGGTCATAAGGAAATAAGCTCTTTTGCAGAGTGACAGCAATACATCATGTTGAGACACTAGTAAATCATTATGAAACAACATTACACAATGTTTAAACATCAACACATCATGTTGAGACACTAGTGAATCATGATGAAACAACATTAAACAATGTTTAAACATCAACACATCATGTTGAGACACTAGTAAATCATGATGAAACAACATTACACAATGTTTAAACATCAACATATCATGGGAAAACACTAGTAAATCCTGATGAAACATTGAAAAAATGTTTAAACATCAATACATCCTGTTAAAACACCAATAAATCATAATGAAACAACATAAAACAATGTTTAAACATCAATGCATCATGTTGAAACAGCAATAAATCATAATGAAACAACATAAAACAATGTTTAAACATCAAAGCATCATGCTGAAACACTAGTAAATCATGATAGAGCAAATTTATAAAAAACGTTTAAACATCAGTAAATTAAACTGAAACACTATTTAATCAAGATGAAACAACATTCAACAAACAATGTTTGAACACCAATACATCAATGTGAAATACTAGTAAATCAAGATGACATGCTCAGGGAGTTTAACATACGATAAAATCACTTGCAGACATATAAAACGAATTCCAGTAAATCAAGATGACATGCTCAGGGAGTTTAACATACGATAAAATCACTTGCAGACATATAAAACGTATTCCAGTAAATCAAGATGACATGCTCAGGGAGTTTATACTATAAAATCACTTGAGGATATTTAAAACAAATTCCAGTGAATCAAGAGCAGAAGAAAAATGCTGGCACTGGATAGGAGACACCTTGGGAAAAACCATGAGAACAATTTAACTAGTAGGGCTTCTCAGTGGAACACACAGTGGCATAGAAATGATAGAAGTAAAAAACAAACCAAAGGAGCTGGAGGGCGAAGTTAAGAAAAGATGTGGTGGATGTGGGTGAGCTGTATGAGACTGCAACAGATTGGGAGATAATGGGCATCAGGAGAAAAAGAAGATGCCATACTTAGCAGGTAGACAAAGGTCAAATACTCGTAAACCTCAGATAGTCACTACTCTGCTGGGGAGAAATACATACTATATAATATCTAATGTTAAACCAAGATCTAGGTTAGATGTACACAGTGCTGGAAGCTCCACCTCTGTATCCCAGAAGCCACAACTCCCTACATGCAACCATGACCGGCCTGGTGGGCAGAAATGTTCGATATTTTCACTGGACAGGGCTATCGTATCTGGAGACCTGATAGTGCTGGAGTCCTGATAGTGCTGGACACCTGATAGTGCTGGAAACCTTTGTAGGTCTCTACTAACACACTAGGTGGACACATATGGCACATCAGTGGACTATTCTGAGCCAGCTAATACACACTAGATGGACACATATGGCACATCAGTGGACTATTCTGAATCAGCTAATACACACTAGATGGACACATATGGCACATCAGTGGACTATTCTGAGTCAGGGAATCACCTGTTCTGACAGGACATTGTACTAACACATCAGACACCCATACCCTGACATTCTGATACGGTCACCATGTTGGCAATATAATGT